AAAAACAGAAGATATTAAGAAGAGGTGGTAAGAATACACAGAACAACTATTTTAAAAAATCTTAATAACCCACATAGCCACGATGGTGTGATCACTCACCTAGAGCCAGACATCCTGGAATGTAAAGTCAAGTGAGCCTTAGGAAGTATCACTATGAACAAGGCTAGTGGAGGTGATGGAATTCCAACTGAGCAATTTCAAATCCTAAAAGATGATGCTGTTAAAGTGCTGGCACTCAATATGCCAGCAAATTTGGAAGACTCAGCAGTGGCATGGGACTGGAAAAGGTCATTTTTTAAATTCCAATCCCAAAGAAAGGCAATGCCAAAGAATGTTCAAACTACCCCACAATTGCACTCAACTCACATGCAAGAAAGGAATGCTCAAAATGCTCCGAGCCTGGCTTCAACTGTGCATGAACCAGGAACTTACAGATGTTCTTGAGCCAAGAACATCTGGATTTAGACAAGGAAGTAGAACCAGAGATCAAATTGCCAGTGTCCATTGGATCATAGAAAAATCAAGAGAATTCCAGAAAAAAATTCTACCTCCGCTTCATTGACTATGCCAAAGCCTTTGACAGTGTGGATCACAACAAACTATGGAAAATTCTTAAAAAGATGGGAATACCAGACCACTTTACCTGTCTCTTGAGGTCAAGAAGCAACAGTTAGAACTGGACATGGAATGAAAGACAGGTTCCAAATTGGGAAAGGAGTATGTCAAGGCTGTATATTGTAACCTGCTTATTTAACTTCTATGCAGAGTACATCATGTGAAATGCCAGGCTGGATGAAGCACAAGCTGGAATCATGATTGCTGGGAGAGATATCAGTAACCTCAGGTATGCAGATGACACCACCCTTATGGCAGAAAGTGAAGAAGAACTAAAGATCCTCATGATGAAATTGGAAGAGGAGAGTGAAAAAGCTGATTTAAAACTCAACATTTAGAAAACTGAGATCATGGCATCCAGTCCCATCACTTCATGTCAAATAGATGGGGAAACAGTGGAAGATTTTATTTTGTTGGGCTCCAAAATCACTGCAGATGGTGACTGAAGCCATGAAATTAAAAGAAGACACTCATTCCTTGGAAGAAAAGCTATGACCAACCTAGACAGTATATTAAAAAACAGAGACATTGCTTTGCCGATAAAGGTCCATATAGTCAAGTCTATGGTTTTTCCAGTTGTCATATATGGATGTGAGAATTAGACCATAAAGAAAGTGTCCCCACTAAAAAAAAAAGCTAAGCATCAAATAACTGTTGCTTTTGAACTGTGGTGCTAAGAATACTCTTCAGAGTTCCTTGGACTGCAAGGAGATCCAACCTGTCCATCCTAAAGGAAATCAGTCCTGAATATTCATTGGAAGAACTGAATATTCATTGGTTGAAGCTGAAGGTCCAATACTTTGGCCAACCGATGGGAAGAACCAACTCACTGGAAAAGACTCTGATGCTGGGAAAGATTGAAGGCAGAAGAAGAAGCGGATGACAGAGGATGAGATGGCTGGATGGCATCACCGACTTGATAGACATGAGTTTCAGCTCCGGGAGTTGGTTATGGACAAGGAGGCCTGGCGAGCTGCAGTCCATGGGGTCGCAAAGAGTCAGACATGACTGAGTGACTGAACTTTACTGAAATGATAATTGTCTATATAAATGTAATAAATACATTATCATTCTTAAGTTACTGCTGGATGTTTATTCTCTGTAGATTTTGTGACTCCATGTAGTCTGATAAAACTGTCCCTTTAATTCACATGTGCATATATATATGTATGTGTGTGTACTCTTGCAATAATTATCATCACATAGTCTTGCAGTTATGTGTTTTTTGTCTCTATTCTCTATTGTCAGTAGATGAAAGGCAAGGATTACTGCCTTTAGTATTTTATACTCTGGGAATCAATATATAGTTTCATTAATCTTATAGTTACTTTGAAACATGAAAATTATATGTTTCTAACATATAACTTGAGACATAATTAGATTTCCTTCTTCCCTCCCTCTCTTCTCCCCTTCTATCTTTTCTCCCCACTACTATTTTTGAGCATCCACCACCAGCCAAGGACTTTAAAGTGCTGCAGGGGTACCGTGGTGAGGAAAAGCAGAACTCATGAAATGTACAGTCCAGTTGGAGGGAGAAATTCATTAATGATCACATGGAGAGATGTAAAATGGCAATAGTTATCATTGCTATAAGGAAAATTTATTCTGATGCTATGAAAGCATAAAATGAGGTGTTCTTGATATGGTTTAGTTTATAAGGATAATATTTCCTAAGAAAGTTATTCTGGCTTGGAAATAAAATCCCTGATTAATAGAATAAGTAGATAAAGTGTGGTATATTGGGGTGAGCCAGTGGGGTGGGGAGAGGGGAGAGAGAGAGACAGAGATGAAAGCAGAGCAGCGGTTCAAAGGGATTTTAGAAAGTGAGCGATGTGCTAAATTAAAGAACCAAGAAAGGTCTTAGGGTCTGGAGGGAAAGTGTGGTGGGGGTATCTGTAGAGATGTGGACATGGAACTGTAGTGATGGGCTCTGTAAACCATCATAACAGATGTGTTTTTCATCCTCTGACTGTGACTTGGAAAGTAGATTGCTGCAGATGAGAAGTCAGTGAGGACCATGGCCTGGGGTGGCTGCAGGCAAGTGCTAGGATGATGCTGCTCCTGATGGAGATGGTTGGAAAGGATGACATTTATTTAAAAAGCAACATAAGCAGGACCTGGTGACACATAGAATGGAGAGATAAAGACAGGAATAAGGACCTAGAGCAGCAGCTGTGGAGTCTCTGAGAAGTGCCTTGGGGTGGGTCAGGGTGCCAACAGTGGGGCAAGACAACATGGGGTGAAGGTGCAGTTGGGGGGAGATGGACCCCTGGAGCCTCAGCATTTGGCAGGAATGAGAAGCTAGCTAATTTGGTCTCCACATGGATGGAGAGGGTGTCATAAACAGGAATAAAGATACTATTGAAAGGAACTTCAGTCACAAGTACCTCCCAGCTGGTATATGTTGAGTTCCGTGTGGTGACCTCTCTGTCCAAAGATGCACAGAATATGGCTATCAATATGAGGAAATTCTTAGCAAAGCTGAATCATGTAATTATCACTCAGCAAAATGGGGATAATAGTGCCCTACCTACTTTCTAGGGATTGTTGTCAGGATCATAGGAGATAATATGCTTCAAAAGCTGCAAAACCTTATGCAAAGCAATGAGAGGGATTGCTTTATCTGTCAAACTCAGCTGTGTTCTGAAGGCAGAGTGTGTGATTCAACCTGAACATCTCTCTGTAGGCTCTTCCTGTCGATCTGAAAAGTTAGGAACCTGGTGTCTAGGAAACAGTATGATGGCTTAGCATGAGACACACGTGCAATGATTAGTGTACCAGGTTTGATCCCTGGGTCAGAAAGATGTCCTGGACAAGGAAATGGCAACCCACTCCAGTATTCATACCTGGGAAATCCCGTGGGCAGAGGAGACTGGCAGGCTACAGTCCATATGGTTGCAAAAGAGTTTGAACATGACTTAGTGACTAAACCACTACCGGCATTATTGAAAAAAAAAAAAAAATCCCCCAAATGTAAATACAGGCTTATTGTTGATGAGCAGAAGGCACTGGAGACACTACAGGTGAATATATGGGAAAATAGGTAAAAAATGTACAAGTGTACCTGCTGAATTTTTACTTAGCTCTCTTTTGATGCTTCCAGGAAGGTTATCCCTTTAATATCCCTTGTGACTATCTTCTCCTGTAATTGATGGTCCTTCTCCTCAGGACCTGGTCCTTCTCAGACCCGGCCCCACCTTGCATCTCTGGTTCTGCTTGAAACCGTGCTCTGCATCATGCCTGTATCCTTCTCACCTCATACTCCTGCAATCCTGGGGCTCTGTGAAGTTAAATAAGTCAGTGATGATCGGTCAACTCACCAATTATGAAATCAAGGTTTTGCCTTTGGGTCTCCACTTTCCCTTGTTTCACTCATGATTTCTGAAATGTCCCTTCATGAATCATTCTTCCCCTCCTTTTTCTTTTAATTTACTTATGGCTATGCTGGGTCTCCGTTGCTGCCTGGGCTTTTCTGTAGTTGCAGCGAGCAGAGGTTACTCTCTAGTTGCAGTGCATGGGCTTCTCATTGCCACGGCTTCCCTTGTTGCAGAACATGGGCTCCAGGGCGTGCAGGTTTCAGTAGTTGCGGCTCCTGGGCTCTAGAGCACAGAATCAGTGGTTGTGGTGCGCAGACTTAGTTGCTACACGGCATGTGGGACCTTCCCAGACCAGGGATTGAACTCGAGTCTCCTCTACTGCAGGCAGATTCTTTACCAATGGGCCACCAGGGAAGCCTCCTTTTGCTTTCTCCCCTTCCTTTCTCCCCGCCTCCCACCTTTTTGTTTCTTGGTATACTTCTCTTTGCCTCTTAACACCCTTTTTGAGCTTTTTTTCCCCTTCAATTTTCAAAAAAAAGTGCACATGTGCATGCCAGTATGTGAGTGTGTGTGTATACAATCACGTTTTCTTCCTCCTTCGTGACTCTAAAATCTTTTCTTTTTCCTTTATAGTCAATCATCTCTCCCTTATGTGTGTTTTATTTTAATTTTTTTATGTACTTGGTGCATTTTATTTACCCAAGATTCAGTGATAGTCTTAAATTTTCTCTTTAGGGTGGGATTTAACTTACAGATTTGTGTTTCATTATTTTAATAACCCTTTACTGAAAGATTGGTGTAAGGATCAATAAAAATAGATTTTCTCCCCCCTTCTCTCCATAAGTAGTTGGGTGATTTTGTATTCGCTGTAGATATCTTCTGCCCATCCTTCCAAGTCTGCTTTTATGTGGGGAATCTTGACAGTGTACACCATCCTTACACCCTGTGGTCAATTCGGAGTCTCCTGTTTCCCAGCTTTGATCTTAGAGACGAGGTCCCAAGGGCTCTTTTCATGTGAGCAAGTTCAAGAGATCACAAGAACCCTGAAACGTGTTCTTAACAGAAGAGATGCAGACACCCTTACCTGCATCCCCTGTGAGGACCCCAGTATTCCCGGAGTCCCAGGGGACTGGTCAGTAGAAGCCCCGCAGGGCTCCCACTGGGGTGCAGGCCTGGGACCTGGGACCCCAGGCACAGGAGAAGTAGGTCCCCAGGCTCTTTGGCTGCAGGAAGCCTGGTTCTTTCGGGGATGCTGCATCTCCCGCACAAAGAGCTGGGGGCTGTCCTTGATATGAGCGCTGTCACACACTCCACAAACCACTTGAACCGAGTCAGATGTTTTGAGAAAGAAGCACGAAGCTGCCCTGGGAAGGGGAGCCCCTCCTCACTTTGGAAGCCTGACCCATTCAGTAGCGGTTCTTGGCAACTGGGGGTTTCTGTCTCCTTGTTCTGAATGTGACTTGAAAAGACGCGGCGTCGATCAAAGTCTTCAAAGGCTATTTTTTTCCCCACTGGCTCCTTCAGTCTGATAGCCTCCCAGAGAGGGAAAAAATAGATATATAGCCAACAATACTTTCTGACCTGTATGTCTTCCAAGGTGAGAACAAAATGGATCTATTAATTAAATCTAACCATGAACACTGTTCATTTTCAACTTTTTCTCCTTAATCTCTCTGTGCTGAGAGAGGCACTATTGAGGATGAGTTATCTGAGTTCATTGGAAGTGTCGGTGAATCCAGGTGGGGAGGCAGACAGGACCCCTGCCTGGAAGACTGCCAGCCACCTTTGGCCAACACCACTGTTATTGTTCCAGAGCAGCGACTGACTTCTCTCCTGGTCTTTCAGCATTGTCACAATAAACCTGTCTGCCAGAATGCTTATTTTTAAATTTTGCTCCTCATGAAATGTTTCCCTTTAATTAGCCAAATGACACAACTGCAATACGTGTGTGTTGTTTTAGTATATAACCAAACAGCATGAACTGGGGCTACGAACAGGATCTAGACATTGGCCAGGTTAGTGTCTCCCCAGGGCCAGTCAGCAGCCTGAGGTGGCATTTGCAGAGCAGTGATTCCATGACCCTAATGACAAAAGAATTGACTGTTTCATCCGGAAGGACAAGAAAAATACTAAGAAAGATAGAAGAGTACTAAGCTTCATAGGTGTATAAATCAGGCCGCAAGGTCCTAACAGAGAATAGTACTTGGGACCAGAGTTATTTTTCAAGTCCCGGTTTTAACCAACAGTGTTTGATGCTCTGTGATATATGCCATCATTGTGTTCAGAATTATTGGTGGGGAAACAGCATCCAATGGACTCGAGTCCAGGGGAGCCTCTTGGTAAAGCCACAGTCTGCGTGGACATGGATGTGCTTGTCATGTGGCTCTGCTCCATGAATAAAGCCCTTCCCACACACAACCATCATCACCACACACAGCTGCATTCCTGCACTCTCCATGAAAATGCACTGTTCCTCAGTACATGAAACATATCATCTTTTTCTTTGTATTAGACATTTTTAATGAAGTATAGTATTGTTATATAGTTATATAGTTATTATATATATATGCATTATTTTTTATGTTCTTTTCCATTATGGTTTATCATAGGAAAATATAGTTAAATATAGTTTGAACATAGTTCTCTGCGCTATACAGTAGGATCTTGTTGTTTATCTCTTCTTATATATAATAATTCGTATCTACTAACCCCAAACTCCTATCCAACCTTCCCCCACTCTCGCTACCCCTTGTCAACCACCAGTCTGTTCTCTATGTCTGTGAGTCTGTTTCTGTTATGTAAATAAGTTCATATATGTCATATTTTAGGTTCTGCAAATAAGTGGTATCGTATGGTGTTATTCTCTTTCTGACTTACGTCACTTAGTCTGATGATCTCTAGTGGCTTCCATGTTGCTGCAGATGATGTTATTGTATTCTTTTTTATGGCTGAGTGATATTCCATCATATATATGTACCATGTCTTCTTTATCCATTCATTTGCCTGTGGGCATTTAGCTTGTTTCTATTTCCTGGCTTTTATATATAGTGCTGCTGTGAACATAGGAGTGCATGTATCTTTTCAAATTATAGTATTGTCTGGATATATGACCAGAAATGGGATTGCTGGATCATAAGGTAATTCTAGTTTTAGTTTTCTAAGAATCCTCCATATTGTATTCCATCGTGGCTTCATCAACTTGCATTCCCACCAGCAATGTAGGAGCCTTCCCTTGTCTTCATACCCTCTCCAGCATTAGTCACTTACACACTTTTTAATGATGGCCTTTTTGACTGGTGTGAAGGTATACCTCATTGTAGTTTTGAATGCATTTCTCTCTTATTAGCAATGTAGAGCATATTTTAATGTATCTATTGACCATGTGTGGGCTCCCCTGGTGGCTCAGCGGTAAAGAACCCACCTGCCAATGAAAGAGATGTAGCTTTGATCCTGGGGTCAGGAAGATCCCCTGGAGAAGAAAATGGCAACCCACTCCAGTATTCTTGTCTAGAGAACACCATGGTCAGAGAAGCCTGGTGGGCTACAGTCTATGGAGTCGCAAAAGAGTCAGACACGACTTAGTGGCTAAACAGCAACAACAAATTTGCCATCCATATTTCTTCTTTGGAGGAATGTCTATTTAGGTCTTCTGCCCATCATTTAATTAGGTTGTTTGTTTTTTGTTGTTAAATTGTATGAACTGTTTGTATATTTTGGAAATTAAGCCATTGTTTGTTCCATCATTTGCAAATATTTTCTCCCTTTCTTTAGGTTGTCTTTTCATTTTGTTTGTGGTTTCATTTGCTGTGAAAAAACTTATAAATTTGATTAGGTCCCCATCTGTTGTTGTTGTTTTTATTTCTGTAGTATATGTTTTTGTGAACCTGTGTTTCTCAATGAGTCACCACCAGCAGTAGTTTGTGGGTTGTCTGAAGTGTCCTGAGTCCTGTGAAGCCACATGATTGTGGTTCATACAGCACATCTCCCGGTAACCTTCGAAAATACTTTTGTATTAGTACAGATAACATTCACACAGTGAAGGATCAAAACACATACCAGAGAGTACTGCTTACAGTAGGGATGTGCTTCAGTCCTCATTTTTTAAATACAGCCCAAATATAAAATACAGCACCTAATGTGAAGAGCCAAGTCATTAGAAAATACCCTGATCCTGGGAAAGATTGAGGACAGGAGGAGAAGGGGGATGACAAAGGATGAGGTGGTTGGATGGCATCACTGTCTCAGTGGACATGAGTTTGAGCAAACTCTGCGGGATGGTGAAGGACAGGAAAGCCTGGCATGCTGCGGTCCTTGGAGCTGCAAGGAGTTGGACATGACTGAACAATTGAACAACAGCGACTCCTGACGTTGATGCTTTTAGTTCTAATAAAATATTAATGTACAGACAGTCAAGATATCATAAGGAAGCTGGCTTACAGGTCATGAACTATGGGCTGAATTGTGAGACACATAGTGAGGTTTTGCCAGTTGCCTTCTAATTCACCATTCATCTTGCATGCCTTTCCAAATATTTCTGTTTGAATCATTGTCCTTCTGGAACAGCATTGCTGTGCCTCAGCCTCCGACCCTGAGAAGATGAATACAAGCTATGTAAAAATAGTTTTGAAACATAACTGCTGAAAATTTCAAGTTAACAATAAAAGTTAACAACTTTATACCCTAAAATTTTAAAGAGCTTTATTCAAGTGTAAAGAGTTTTAGGAATTCCCTTGTGGTCCTTTGGTTAGGACTCTGAAGTTTCACTGCCAAGGGTGAGGGTTCAATCCCTGGTTGGGGAATTAAGATCCTGCGAGCTATGGGGAGTGGACAAAAAAAAACTAGATAAATAAATAATAAAAATAAGAGAAGAAATCCTAAGCACTAAAAAGAAAAGTTTCCACAGGAGAATATAGACTGCCCATCCTCATGTTTCCAGAATACTAGATCTAGCCATTCCAATCAATGAGATTGAAAGGAAGGAGGTGATCTAACGAAATATCCAGCAGGCAGACATGTGGCCATGTTTCTCTACCTATCCACCAGCCCACATCGTAGTAACTGCTTTTATTGTTTCTCTCTTGTTCCTCTTTTGTTGTCCGACTCACATAGGGATGTGTGGTCTTGCATGTTTCAACACGTGACACATGTCCTGACACAATGTTGACAATGAGGGAGCAGGTTTGTTTCACAGCGCCGCATCCCCAGTGGGAAAGGGCTAGATCCACAGTCAATGGAAATAATGGAGCGAAGGTGGATGTGAAGAGTAATTGCAGAAAATTTGACAACACAGTGTAGCCACATTCCTGAAAATAGAACACAAAGAGAAGGGGCTGCTGAAGGGATTTTATGTTTCTGAAGAACATGGTGTGAGGAATAGTAACGGTTCAGACTGACATCGTTGGACACATGACTCATGTCTTCACATTAGCATTCACCAGGGAGACCAGGGAACATAGGCAAGAAACCCACAGATGGGCTTTTCACGATGGGAGGCACCCAACCACAGAAGCAAAGTGACTCGCTGGAGAAAATAAAAAGAAATTAGCGTTATTAAAAGAAAAGTGTGTCAGTGTGGTCTTTTTGTAAAACCCAATCCTTTTCCTCAGCAATTTCAAGAACAATACATGTTCCTAAAAATTGCCCCCATGTGTTTTCTCATTTCCTCCAAATAATTCAGTCTCTGTTATTTTTAGAAACTCCTTATTTGTCTCCTGAGTAGGACTGTTTATTAAATTTGCTATGAATTATCAAAAATGTATTTCATAATTCTGAGAACAAACTTAGTATTAGACATGGTTTGTGATTTTTCAGTGGAGGGATTTCATTTCCATTGCAGTTGACACATTTGATCGTCATGGGCTTGAAGAGTCATAAGTGTATGTGGTGTTTATCCATCTCTGATTTTCTCTTTTCATATAAACTCTGAACACATTTGTTTATTTGACTTGCATGTGTCAGTGATGCATTTGTTCATGAAATGTGAACTTTCCTAACAGCAAAATTGTTTATTTTATCATAATAACACTATAGATTGTGCTTGTTGCTTGGTTATGTCCCATTCTTTGCAGTTGCCAGGTTTCTCTGTCCATTGAATTCTCCAGGCAAAAATACTAAGTGGGTAACCATTCCTTT